GGAATGGGTACCCGGCCATAGACAGCGAAAGATCTTGTCAGTATGTTAGTGTTTTAGCGTCTATAAATGGCCACTTACACTGTATGCTTCCCAGGAAGTTGAGGTTGTTTCAGAATGCTCTCAGGTCTGCTGGGGCAATAGTATAGATTGTGAAGCTCCTAGAGAATGCTATTGAGCGGGGATTTGCGATATATTATGCTATCTGTCTATTATTAGAGAGCTGTGAAATTGCACGCCCAAGTAAAAGTCTCAGACTCAGAATCTATCAGTATCAGTAGGTGGTTGGCGGGTGATCAGGTAAGGGTTGCTCCTTCTTTCTCATCGAAGATCTATCGTCATTAATTACTCTCCTACTCCTTTTCTGTGTATGTTACTCTCCAGAAACACCCCCAACCCCCGGCACTTGTAAGACCTATTGGTGTGGCAAGGGTCTTAAAATCTTACTAAACATGAACTGACAACGAAGATGGTATGAAGAAGTCAGTTTTTGCCCCGCGCAAGTTATGGGATGTATGAGACTTAAAAGCTCAGAGCCAAACGACTAGATATATATCTATCTCCTTTATTTGGAAAATCGTCCTCGGTTATTATACATGTACGCTTAAGATATTTATCTCTCGACATGGGAGATGGCAACTCCTGAGAGACCCACAAGGAGAGCAGCGATAGAGGCAGGCAGCAAGTCTATAAGTATTCACGAATAAGAAATGCTGAAGTCTGCTTTTATTTTTTTGGTAAGTGTTTTGCGGCGCTCGCAACTGCATAAGGTCATTCGAGCGCGCGGGTAAGCAGCACTTTCAGTTGGTAGGAAATTTTGAATACTGCCCTGATGGTGGCCGAAGCCTACTCTTATTGATTTTGGATCACCTGGCCCTTTCTGCAGTCTTTCTACTGCTACTCCTTGGCTACTTTTTGCTGTTGTCTTTCAGCCCCACTCCTGATATTCTGGGAGGAAAGATCTGCACCTAACCTTCTCGGGCAAGGGCGAAAAATCTTGGAGGTCCCGTGTGCAAGTTGTGCACGTTAAAAATCCATTTGCGGACTAACTTCGATGAAAGTAGATTTCAGCCGCCGCCCGGGCAACATTCAAAATTTCCCACCAACTGAAAATGTTCAACGTGTCCTGTGCGCTCAAATGACCGTATGCTGTTCCGAGTGCGTAAATCACTTAACACCCCCCCAGAAAAAAAGCCCCCTAGGAGCATCGTTCACCATAGAGTTAGAGAGTTAGAGAGAAGCATTTATTACTTCTCCTGGATTGTTTGCTCCGGAGAAAGTTACAGTGGCGAGTGGCGAGTTCTCAGGTCTCAGTGCTGTGTGATGCTAGC